CTATCTATCTATCTATCTATCTATCTATCTATCTATCTATCTATCTACCATCTATCTATCTTCATAGTTAATTCATAAAAGATTAGTCAAATAATTTTTAAAATTCTATAAAATGCTAGGAATCCTGATATTCGATATTGTAGGATATGCCCCAGCCTAAACATTATGGAAATACAATTATAACTATCTTAAATTTAGGTAAAAAAAAATACCTACCTTTTCTCTATGTAAATGCAAAACAATGATATATTGTCATAAGGGCTTTAAACAATGCATAATTATTTTAATTTGTTCTTTAAACCAAATGAAGAGTCAGTTGGTTCTTTTTGAGTCAGTTTATATTTTACATAAAGTATTATATTCTTCATATACAAATGGAAACAAAAGTTTTAAAATCCCAACAAATTCCTTGCTCACGGTACTAATACTGTAGAACAATCTGATTCAAAACCAAAGTAGGTTATTGTATTGGTGACAACTGCTCTTCCCATTGGTGGGTACAGAAGACCAGACTAACAGGAAAGAAAACTAACTGAGATGTCACAGTATGCATCATGTCCATTCTAAAGTTGATTATGGGTGTTTGTGTGTCATGCTTTTAGATACAAGATCTTGGGAAGCTCAGCTGGCCTTGAACTTGCTCTGTAAGAGAGACTGGTCTCAAACCCCTGCTCTTTCCTGCTTTGTATTCGTACATCACATGTGTGCTCCTTCATGCTAAGCTGGTATTGGTCTTTAATGCCAGCCCACCAATTTACTGTTGACTGAATTAGTTTATGGGTCATTTTTATTGTGGAGAAAGGACATTTCAATAATTTATATAATTTCATAAACACATAAAAAATGTGTCTAAGTTTTCCAAAAACATGCTCATTAATAGAGACCAGTTTGCTTTTGGGACTCAAAGACAAGACGGTGTTCCTGTGTTGGGTTGGAAAACCAACAACCAACAGTACAGAGCCTTGGAAACCAAGAATGAAGAGAAAAATGCTTTAGTTTGCAAAGACAGGAGAACTATATCCCAGGAGCAAACTTAAGGATTGTCTGTATTCATAATTTTAATCACACATTCATATCCACGTGTGAACTAAGTCACTACCTTTATTTATTTATTTATTGGCTTACATACTTATTTATTTATTTTTCTGGACCCTACATTCCCAGTGAAGAGTGCCTGGAGTATCTGATGAAAATATTACCTGATTATTTATTAAAGTAACAATGCCAAAGAAGTGACAGCAAGCCATTAAAAGATCTTGGAATTGGTACTTTAGTAGACTACAAAAGAGATAGAAGAAAGATGCAATAGATCTGAGAAGCCATGTAATTGGAATAAATTGGGTGGTTTTATACTTTGTATTCACTGTCAATTGTATATTAGATAATTTATGAGCCTCTTTAGGGCATCACCAAGGATTTAAGATAGCGGCTCTTGTTTAGCTACACATAAAATGTTTTCAAGAGTGGGCAGCACTAAAATGAAGACATTATTTCCTAATATACTTGGTTAAAGACTAGATTCTGACTATATACTTCTACACTTAGTTTAAAGAAACGCATAGAAGCCTGTCACCAACCAGTCTTACAGTAGAAGTGAGAGCAGGACAATCAATTGGGATCAACTCAGTCATCAGAAACACATAGCTAAGGCCTATTTTAAGATGCCAGCTCTAACAGAGCGTCACACTATCCTAAGTTTCTCTACGACTATCTATTGAAATCAGCAAAAGTCTCCCAGATCTGAAGAAGGAATTCTAGTGCTTAAAAAAGGTCAGTAAGGCTAAGGGGTTTGTGCTCTTGAGTGAACTTCAAATGATTGCTTAGTAATTTTCTCCATGTCCTTATTAGTGAGTCTCATATTCTAGGACCTGTACAATTCTGTGGAATGATTTACAAACAAGTCCTATACTAATTACATCATTTTCAATGTTCAAATAACTCTATACCACTTTTGTAGCAAATATGCAGTGGAAAGTGGAGTATGTGTTGAACTATTTTATTTTTAAAAAACAAATCAGTGAATTTCACAACAGATACAATAAAATATAAATTAAAACTACATCTTCAAAAATTGGTTCTTGTGTTCTTTGAATTTCTTAAATAAGAACACAAAAGATTTATAAAAGATCTTCCCAAACTAGTACTTAGTACAGACGTCATTCTTAAAATTATCAGTAAGTAAAATTCAAATACTACAAAGTAACTGAACTGTTTCAGTATTGCAAAGGAAAATTAAATGGGTGTTATATTCTTCAGAATACTCAATCCAACATAACAGAATAAAGGGGGAGTTTTGTAGACTCCTTTTCCAAACCAGTATTACTTCCTAGGTATGGAATAAAAGTAGATTAATTTTTATAGTCTCATCCTTTTCTTCCTTATTGAAGAGAAACCAAAGTTTGGGATATCTTAACTTTCCCCAAGACATTTAAAATCTTGAAGGAAAAATTCATTAGTGTACAAACATTTTTAAACATAATGTTTTTTTAAAAGAATATTCATAACAAAGCAAAAATACTAGTTGTGATAGAAAATGAACAGATGGAAAGGTGATGATATGATTACATTAATCTGAATGTGAAAATTCTACTGGACCAATTTTTATTTAGTTTCTAGTGACACTTTATAATAAGTTATAGTCCAAGCATATGTGCTCACACTACATTAGCCTAGAAATCAGAGGACCATGGTTTCAGGCTCTCTGGTGAATTTTATTTTTTAGGTAAGGGACACAAGTCAGACAACCTGACTTTCCTCAAATGTGTGTCATGAGAAATCTGAACAAAAAAATGCTTTAATATGTAATTACAGCACATGTTTTAGGATAAAATTTTTAAACTGATCATTTAGAAGTAAAATTTTGAAATAAATTTCTTTCATGTGATTTCTCATTCTTTCAAAAGACTATCACAGTTTTAACTGAGAATATTAATTATTAATATTTTACTAGAGAATACCACCATGTTTTATTGAAAGATATATTCCTTTATTTTTTTTCCTTCTTTTTAAGAAAGGATCTTACTATATAGCCTTGACTATTCTGAAAATTAGTGGGTAGACCACCAGGTTAGTTTTGAATTCACAGAGATCCTCCTGCCTCTGTCTCCCAAGTGCTAGGGCTCAAGGTGTGTGCCACCAATCCTGACTTGAAAATTTTGTTGTTGTTTGGTTTAGGGACAGTCTCATGTAGCACAGGCTGGCCTCAAACTTTATATGTTAGAATGACCTTGAATTTGTGATCCAACTGTCTCTAATTGCGAACACTGGAATCACAGTTGCATGCCACCATGCTCTGCTGAACTTGAAACTTCATAAAGGATTAACTGTTATCCCTTTAAACACACATACACAACCTCATTATGTTGCGTTTACCCACTCTTCTCTTCCTTGCCTCTTGTCAATTTTTTTCCTACTTCCCTCAATCAAAAGCTTTGAGAAGATTTATATAAGACTCTCCCCTCCTCATCTGGCCTGTTTTTATGAAGTACTTGTAGCTCTCAATGCCTAGAAGCATATATTAAATTACCCACAGGCATTTTTCTCACGTAATCCCACAATTCAATATTTCCACCTACATACCCACCCTAACCATCTTTTTCCAGAGATAAAACTAAAAATTGCAAGAGAATAGTAACCTCCTTGAACTAGAGAAATAAGCCCTGTTGCAGAGACTTTGATAGGCAAAGACTGACCAGAAATAATATTTTACAGAGTAAACCAAAGTGAAAATGGTTCATCCTTATATAAATGTGTGAATGCTATTTTGTAGTATAAGCTCTTAGGAAGCAAACTCTATTACCTGCCCAATGGGTATGGTAAAATACAAATATAAAATATTTGTACAAGTATACAAATATAAAAAGATTAAATTACTCAATGAAATTCTCCTATACTTTTGAACCCTTATCATATTATTGCTATATTAAGAACTGTGGAAACTGATTCCCAAATGTCTTTTCTGACATGCTATTCAGATTTGAAGACTGGAAGTCAAGACCCAGGCTACTTTCTGCTTCCCAGCAATCCAATACTAGCAGAATTCTGAAAAGGTAACTTCACATTGCCACCCCTGGATAAAAAGGAAAGAGAGTAGACGTCAGGTAATATCAACATCAGATGCCGCGGGCAGTCATCAGGTTATTCGTTCGGCTGCTTACCAGTGTGACTCCTTTTATGTACCATAAGCACATTGGGCCCAATGCAAACCATGCCACAGACGTCACATTTCAGTTTACCATTCGGAAGCCGGATTCCTCCCTCGCCTTGAAGATCCTGGACTTTCCTGTTGTCAGCCACCTCGCTGCTGTCAATTAGGGGTTCTTCTAGGCTGCTCCCCTCATCATGGCCCCTGATCTCATCTTCGCGGCTCAGGGGTTTCCTGTCACACTCTTCATCACTCTGCATTTCTAGCTTTACGGAATTTGCTGTAAGTTAAAAGGAATTTAAAACATTTGTTAGGTACCTCCATTTCTCTCCTGCCTGCTGTCACTCTACGGAATGAACGAGAAGGATATACTAAGTCATCCCATGCTCTTCCTGTGAGCCAGCCTTTGGTGAGAGGGAACACAGCTCTGGAGCCCTCTGGGTGAAAAGGATCCCTCACTTCCACAAACATTTATTTCACTCAGCTATGCTGCTTTGACTAATTCTTGCCATTAGCGAATTCTTGTATTTTTTTTTAAGTTTGTCACTAAAGTTAATGAGAACGAAGAGCATGTGTGGAAGACGCGAGGTTAAGTATTGCTTAACCCAGTAAGCCACGCCTCATCCTGATTTAACAATCCTGTTCATGTCACATCGTCTGCTTCACATCAGCGTGCATGTGTCAACCTGCTTCTGTACAGAGCAAGAGAAACAACTCGAGATCTTAATCCCACAAATGTCTGCCACATAGGAAGGCACGCTTTCGAGGCCAATGTCCCCAAGTCAGACAAAACACAAACACTCAGCTGAGAGCTGTATCAACGTGAAGTAAAGTGCATAAACCTTGCCATCTTAAATTACCCTGCTCTTGTTTCCCACATGCAGCAAAAATAGGCCTCTACAGAACATACTAGACTGCAAACCTAAGTGCTCGAACACTGATGTCTACAAACCAAAGAGCAGCGAGTGACAGGAATGGCACAGCATGCATGTACACACTTGCTACTGTTAAGTCTAAGGCCTTCTGTTTGCTGGTTTTGGATCATCCCGCAGAGAAGTTGGAATTCTGTTAGCACAGCCCTTGATCTAAATGGCTCAGTCCTTTGACAAAGTAGAGGCTTTAAATTAGCATCAGGTTTTTGTCCCACGATCTTCAAAGTTTCTCAGAACTCAAGAATCCATATTGAATCGATCTGATATCACAAGTAAGTTGGTTACTGTCTGGATAGAGGAATGAGTTCATAGAGGCAAGCCCGCTCTTTTTACTGCCGTTGTTTCCCTGGCGAAGTTATGAACCCTGAATTCACGACCAGTGCTTATCAGGACTGGGTGCCATCACAATGACTTTCTCTGTCCTTCTCTGCGGAGCTCTCTTCTCTAATCAGAGGCAGTGAACCGCATACTGCCTGTGGCATAATCCTAAACTAATTACTTAACCTATGAATCTTACATCGTGCCTTTGAAAAGGGGAATAAACTCAAATTGCTGACTAAGGTTCAGACAGAGCCATTTGGTGAGAGTGGAGAGACTTACATTCTCAAATGGTTAGGCATCTTAAAGAGCTGAGCATTGTCCCTGTCCTCCATAAAATGGAGATGACAATCTCCCCACTCTGCTGGGTGGATCTGAGCATTAAATGAGTAAACTCTCATTTAATGAGTAAGCGCGCTTCTCTTTTTCTTCAGGCAATATGGTGCTATGATTACTTCGTAGGATTTTGGAGAAGATTAATTAACTTACACCATGTAAACGGTTCTATAATCCACAAAGGGAAAACCATTCATATGCAATCTATCAACTTAGAAAGTGATATGATCCTATTGGTTTTGAGACTAGAAGAGACAATATTCTATTCAACACAGGTCTTGTGATATACAATAGATGTTCATGCAGTATTAACTCACGAGTTTTACTAAAATCACTCTGTGTTTCATTTCCTCAAACCCTATTTTATATGTTATAGACTCCATGCCATTGAAGAAAGACAAAATAATATGAAGGATCAATTGTAAAAAATAAGTCATTTTTAGCAAATGCGCAGAATCCCCCAGTCTGTCTCTAAAGAAATCATGATCATATGCTCTCATATAGAAGTCTATCTGAATCCATTTAAAATGAAAAATAATTGCATATCTAGACTATCAGCAGAGATTTATGATCATCCCTTCTTTGTTGTTATTAAACATATAGATATTCACATAGAATGATCAGTGTGACGTCTTTTATTTTTACATGCATTTAAAATTATGAGTGAAGTTCATTGCTATAAATTTAGATCGTCTTTCTGAAAATGTTTATCAACATTATATGCCCATTTTCCTATCAGGTTGTCAAACTTTTCTCACTGAGTTTAAACGTTCTTTATTCTGAAAACCAAAACTACAAATTTTCTAGTATCTAAACTGATTTTAGGACTGATGTAACACCACAAGCAGTATACTCCCCAACAACAATACAAGACAGTGTGCAGCCAACACAGAGCATGTTGGAAATACTGTATAGAGCGATGTCTGTTTAGACCTAAGATCTCTTGCCAAGATACCTCACTATGTATATCAAACATTACAAGTCTAACAAAAAATACAGTCTGTTAGGAACTCTTATGCCCAAATTTCTGCAAGGCTTGTTCCCTGTTACCCAGGAGCTTAGTCCTGTACTGCTGGTGTATTTGCAAATATCCTGGCTTTCCATTTTATTCATGAAAGAGTTACTGTTTGGTAAGGCATGTTTAACCAGCATAAAGTTTGCCAGAGTTCCTCTGCAGAACTCAAGAATTATATTCCTGCATGAACAGATTTTTAGCATAAAAGTATAGACCTCTCAAATATTCAAATAAGACAGAATTATAAAATATATCGCTTGATTTAAAACATCAGATTATCTTTTTCCTTAGCAAGAAGACATTAAAATGAGGATATCCAAACCCAACAAGGGACATGGATAAAATTTCATTTTAAAAAACTCTGTCAGGCCAGGCAATGATGGCGCACACCTTTAATCCCAGCACTCAGGGAGGCTGAGGCAGGTCGATATCTGAGGCCAGCCTGGTCTACAGAGAGATTTCCAGGACAGGTAAGGCTGTTACACAAAGAGACCCCGTCTTGAAAAACAAAACAAAGCAAACAAACAAAACCACTGTCAGATTAAAATATACTCATCAGGGTCTGCTCTCCCTAGAAAAGTATACTGAATGCAAACACTGGGAAAAGGTTTATTTTTGCTATAACTGAGACAGAACAAAAGAATAAAGTTATAGTACAGGATTTTTATACCAATACTGTAAGAAATCATATTCGTCACATGTAAATTTGTATTCTATTGCAGTTCTTATACAGTAAATTAGTAAAATGCAACACATTTCAATATACTTATCATTGGCTACCTTCACCTAAAATGGAAGCTCATTCACAACACCATCACCAAAAATATTCCCATCATAACTCATTTCTGACATCTGTGTCTAAAGGTAAGCTGAAATTCTATATTACAGAAGCAGGAAATTAAATAAAACAGCCTTTAAATCCTAAACATTACACAGAAGCCTTTTCTAGCTCTATAAAACTATGGGCATGATTTATTTTCAATATAAGACGTTTCTAATTATAACAGAGCAATAATGTTTTAAATATTTAATGATAAAATTCAAGTGTTGGGGGAAAAAAGTAAAAGTTCAAATTTCCAAAATAAGAAAGAGTTGACTATCACTATTTAAAGCATAATGAGCCTTATACTACTATCAATCACTAAATATAATATTATTCATTTTTGTAATTGGAGTTTTAACCTTCACTGCATGGACTTATTTTGACAATGTCGTCAAGGAATATGTTCTCATAAACAGGCTAATTTCACTCTATATAAGTCTGAAGCCAATTTGATTTTATGTAAATCTAATGTGTTCTTTCATACGGCGTAATTCAAAGCTATAAAGGAGCTTGTTTGGAAAAACTGACTTCTCAGTCAAACAATATTATAAGCTTCTCCAGTAAGTGTATTGGGGTACCTATTCTCAGAAGCTGCACCATATTGGGCTACCCACACTCAGAAGCTTCACAATACTGGGCTACCCACACTCAGAAGTTCCAAAAACCATCATTGTGTCTAGATGTATAATGAGAAGTAGAGAGACATAACATACTTGCCTTTCATTCCTTAGTGAGACACTAAGGGGAAAACTGAATAAAAGTTTATATACACGTAAATAGATACATATTATCTCTCCCACACACATAGACACACACGCACACAATCAAGTGGACCTAAAAACAAACAGTAAAATAACATTAGTAACAGTTTCACAGCTGTTAAGAAATTAATTCAGTTTGATGTATGTAACAATGCAATCTTGCTTTACAATTACGATAAAATAAAAGTAGATCATGCGACGAGCATAACTACAAAGTAAAATGTGAGGTAATGTTATACCCACACCAGAATGTAACACTCGCATGAATCGTCTCCCTCACTGAGCAGGAGTCAAACACAGACTTTTCCGTAGAAGTTGGTTTTTTGTTTGATTTTTGAGGAAGATCTTAAATTTGGGTGAACAGGGAAGGGGAGAGGAAGGAATTGGGGGAAGGGAAAAACATGATAAAAATATAAATATTTTTAATTGGAATACTTTAAATATAAAAACTGTTTTAAGTAACAAAAGTATGCTGCTACTACTACTAATAATAATAATAATGATAAGAAAATGAAGAAGAAAAGTCACAGACCAGGACTCTAACCCAAGCCAAGTGCATGTTGAACATACTCAGAGACTTAGGTTAGGTTCCTAGCACAACCTTCTCAACAAGAAAAAGAAGAACATACTAAAATACCTGTTGCTGCTTTTTCCACTGTGTTTAACACTTATTGGAGGTTAGTGATTAAAAATAAAACCAAACCCATTTGCTTCATGAGAAACTTGCATTAACAAGGCAGTATGCTCATAAAAAGAGGTCATGACGGAGCTCATGCCTAAGAACAGTAAATATTCCACTAATATAATTTACTCACACAATGAATTTACTGATGAAATAGTACAAAGGTTAAGGAGAGTTCTTTGGACATTTTGGATAAATTGGATATTTTCTTATATATCCATAACTCAAATTTCACCCAAGCACCCATCTCTGCAAAGTGGGAGATTCTGCAATCTCTGGTGATTGATTCCTTCAAGAAATATGAAATAATTAAATTTTTTAAGAAGTAAATTGTTATATGCATGACGGAATATATGAAGCTAATTTTGAACTGTCAGAATTAAGAGGATAAACTTTACTTTCCATAAGAGAGA